TGCAAGGCCGTCGGATGGACTGGGAAGATACTTGACCTTGCTGCCTGGACCAAAATCGTCTTCCTTCTTAGCAATGGTGTAGGGCAGACGACCAGATGGGTTGACGTCGCCAAAAAGTACATCCACAATAGCATTCCCAGACTCCGTACCTGGAAGGTGGGCAATGAGTACTGCCCTAACGTTCATGATGTCGATGAAATCCTCTAGGATGACGGATCCAACCGTGTGGATGACGACAACGACGTCGCCCATCCCTTCTCCACAGTCTTTGGCAACATTCTTGATGAGCTCTGCACCGCCTTTTTGCAGATTGAGATCGTTTCTGTCGCCCCGAATGTTTCCGTAGTGCTCGTATCCTTCTCCTGAATCGGCATTGGCGAAGACAATGCAAAGATCTTGATCTTCGAGGATCTCCTTTTGGTTGGGAAGCTTGTTCTCCAACCAGTCTGTTACGTATACGGTCTCATTGTCAAACGCCTGTCTGATGGCAGATACAGGCTCGACCAGATACGAAAAGTTGACAGCACCGGAACCCCAGCCTGAAGCCAAGGTTCCCTCGTTGCAGCTTTGATCAGGGCAGTGGTTGATGCCGTCGCGAGGGAGACGTGCATCTTCACCAAAAACACCGACACGGAACTTTGTCTTCGCCTTTCCATCGGTCTTCCAACCTTTGCGGTTTAGGGGCAGCATCTTGCCGTCATTCTTGACCAAGACTGTACCTTCAGCTGCAACGCGACGCACCAGGTGTCCGTGGGCTTCTTTTCCCTCTCCTTGAGCGTTGACGTACTGGTTGACCACACCCATTTCGTGATTCGAGGGGCTGCCTTCATGCAGCTTGCCGATACGGTCGTTGGTCCAGGAAGAGAAGTTTGGCCCATCATTTTCCCACTTGTCCTGACCGACTTGGTACCAGGATGCTACGACACGAGTGACCATGTCGTCGACGCGATCAATGGGTACACTGCCGTTAAGAACTGATTTGGTGAGCTCTGAACCCCATAGACTGTTACCCTTGGCCCATCTGAGACCATCTCCGGGCATTGTCATGTCCAGACCCGCCAGGGCGCTCGCTACACCTGAACGTTGCGCTAACCAGTCACTCTGAACGAACCCCTGGAAACCAAGCTCGTCTTTCAAAATTCCATTGAGTAGCTTTGAATTCTGGCAGGCATAGCTGGAGTTTACCTGGTTGTATGAACACATGATGGATGTTACACCTGCTTTGACCGAGTCGGCGAATGGCCATGCATAAATTTCATGTAAGGCGCGGTCGTCGATGTTGCTGGAGATGGCATTCGGCAAGCCCCACTCCCAAGCCTGTCTGAAGTGTTCCTGTTCGTTGGCGATGTAGTGTTTTGCGGTAGCCATGACACCTTCGTCTTGGATGCCTTTGATAGTCGCGGCCGCTGCAATGCCCTGGAGCACGGGGTCTGAGCCAAATCCTTCCCAAACACGACCGCCAGCAGGCATTCGGCCGAGAGGACCCATTGCGGGACCAAGTAAGACGTTGACTCCTTTCAGTCTTGCCTCCTTGCCATGTGCTTTTCCGCGTAGATAGAAGAGCTCCTTGCTCCATGTCGCGCCAGTGGTGATGCCCGCAGGGAAGCCAGTGATATTGTCAGCAAATCGAATGCCCAGAGGTCCGTCCTGAGTAATATGTTAGTGCATGTGGAACGCTGTCTTTGGAGTGGTGCGCACCTGAAGACATAGACTGGGGAACTTTAACCTATCCACACGGCCAGTCTGACCCACACAAAGATCCATGCTCCACCCTGTGCCAGTGGTGATATTGACCTTCTCAGGCAATGTCATCTGCTTGACCAATTCAGCAGCCTTCTTGTAGCTCTCCTCCCATGCCTTGTCTGTTCCGCCCTTTGGCGAGGGGTACCACGGCGGACTGCGACCATCCTCAGGCACCGACACCTTGTATGCCCATATTCCTCCCGAAGCCAGTAGCAGAACAGTAGCGGCGATAAATACGAGCAACCAGCAGCAACAGCGGCCTGGTGCGCATTTAGATCTTCGTTGTTGGGCAGGGAATGGCGTCACGGCCTCGGTGTCTCGGTACGATGCCTTCCGGACCTTGAGGTCGCCGGCACTCTTCTTTCGTTTCAACTTGCTATCGAATGCGAGGGGGTCGTGCTCTTCGAGATCTTCCAGGGTCTCGTTGGACTCGGAGGAGAATCGCGTTGGGGTTTCAAGGTCATCGTCCACGGGTGCATCGAGCTTCGCGTACTTGCCGCGGCGCAACTCGTGGGCTTCGTAGGGAGCCATGTTGGTGATAGAAACGTGTCAATCCAGGAAGAGCAGCAGGTAAAAAGAAATATGTGGTGTTGCACGCGGCGGGGATGATGAGGCTATGGCAAACGGCGCGAGCGTGAAGCCCTGGTTATATTGAAGCTAGCATTGAAGCGTGTGTATGTTTGCAGCAGCAGCAGTTGGACACGGTGAGACCACCGATGCAGATGTGAGCGAGCGGAGATAGTATCTGGTAGGACAATGAGTGTGGAACAGAAGACAACGCCGTCGACGTGGTGCGAGACAGTTTCACTCGGCGTCCGGCGTGTACTGGGGCCGGCATGTCGCCCTGCCCTGACTAGCCGCCGCCGTCGTCGATCCCATGGGTCCGCTCCCGCCCCTCCCATGCCCAATTGCGCAACTCGATTCATTCACCAACACCAACACCAACACACGTCATTGACTGACTGACTGACTGATATCTTTGCACTGTGTTTGGCACTTTTTCCATGAAAAACTTGATGGCGACATGTGACATTTAGATCGTTTCTATTTTCGACTACTTTTTGATGGCTACCCTGTATCAGGTCGCGACTACTGACATTTACGCGCCAACCTGGTTCAGGATACCCTGGAGGTTGATGGACTTGGGGCGCTCAATGGGCAGACCCAATGCCCTGTCCCAGATGAGTTGTGCAAGAGGACCGAGACCACGGCTGACACCGAATGTTGCAGTGTAGTACAGAGTCTCCTTGAAGCCGTAGTGGTGGAAGAGGACACCAGAGGACGAATCGACGTTGGGGTAGGGGTTCTTGGTCTACGACAAAGTTAATCACTGCAATCTCTCAAAACTATGGTTTCTTACCTTTCCGTGCTCGGTAAGCACGCCAGGAGCAACCTCCGAGTTCTTCTTTACGAGCTGGTAGACTGGGTCTGCCGCAATCTCAGGTCGAGCATTCGCAAAGTCCATGAGCGCCTCGAATCGCGGGTCGGGCTTCCTGAGCACAGCGTGGCCGTAACCAGGGATAACTCGTCCAGACTTGAGAACGCTCCAGAGGAAGTCATTGACGTCCTTTTCGCTAAAGTTATCGCCAACTACCTTTTGCATGTCGAGGATGAAGCGCAGCACCTCCTGGGCAGCTAGGCCGTGGAGCGGGCCAGCAAGACCTTGAAGACCGGCACTGTAGCTCAGGAAGGGATCGCTGAGCGCTGAACCGACGAGATGTGTGGTGTGTGCTGAAACGTTGCCGCCCTCGTGATCGCCGTGCAGAGCGAGATACAATCGGAGAAGGTCCTGGAAACCCTCGTTCTCCTTGCCAGGCTTGCCCAACATGGCTGCGAAGTTGTAGGACCAATCTTGGTTCAGATCGATCTCGTTGGGGAGCGCACCTCCACCGCGGTATGCGTTCTGGTAGATCTTGGCGGCAATAGTAGGCAGCTTTGCGAGCAGGCTGATACAATCATCAAAGGTGGGCTCCCAATAATCCGCCTTGTTGATACCCTTTTCGTATGCTTTGGCAAACTTGGACTCGTAGTTGAGGGCTGAGACAGCGCATGCGAATTGTGTCATGGGGTGGAGGTCCTTAGGGAAATCATCCAGCATCTTCTCGACAAACTTGGGAATGCCACCCTTTTCGGCGAGCTCTCGCGAAAGCGCACGAGTCTGTGACACTGATGGGACCTCGCCAGTCAGGAGCAGCCAGAACATGGCCTCGGGAAGCATCTCAGTGCCAGAGGTTCCCTTGGGTAGCTCCTTTTGACAGTCCTTGATCGTCTTGCCGTGGAATCGAATACCCTCGTTTGCGTCGAGAACTGATCCTTCCCAGACCATGGCCTTGAGACCCCTTTGCTGCTGTCAGTACACGCTATTTATTTCCCGAGGATGCATACCTCATGCCGCCCAGCGCATTCTCGACCTTGACGTCACCGAGCTTCTTGTCGCCATGTGCCTTGACCTTTTTCAAGAGCTCACGCTTTGCGGGGAGAACCTTTTTGAAAGTCTCTTTGAGATCAGGCTCGGATGAGGATGAATAGCTACATGCTTGTACTAGAGAAAGGGATATGGGTTAGCATCTCGATGGGCGGAACAGAGGACCGATTGGCATACCAGCCGCAAAAGGGCGCGCCTGGGAAGCTTCAATTAGTTTTTCTTGCTTCCAACACTATCAGCCAGACAGCTCGGAGCTCACCTTGGCCGCTCGCAGAGCTCTGGCAGCAGATCGTGCACTCAATGCCATGGCTAGTCTAGTGTGGGGTAGATGCGGGGAATGGCAGTCTGATAGTCTTCACTCAACCCAGGGACGAGAGTGTTCTACAAACTCAATGGCAAAAACACGACTTGACACGAAGGAGACAGAAGAAAGTCGTACGGCATTGCTCGGCAGCCGAGTCGGATTTTCCTGACACGCGCTGGGCCATTCCTGCGAGTGCGACGTACAATCCATGGACCGAGGGGCAGCTCCGAGCGGCTAGCGGTGGGCTACCTCGGTTCTGGCGCCGGACATGGGGAAATGCTGGAGAAGCGTTGCCGCACACACAATCACACTGCTCCGCTTCTCACGGCCCGGTAACGTCATTGCCTGCGCGTAGAGACAGCTTCTAGACCCCCCAAAAAGGCGACAGGGCGAAAAGAGTGACAGCCGCTGTTCCCCAATTGCCTGCAGCCCACGGATAATTTTCCGTTGCTCATCTCTTCCACTCGACTCAAGTATACAGCAGGCTCCTGCTGGGTTGCGCCTTGCTCCAATTCACACATACTCACCATGCTCCGTACAGTACCGCGCTCCGTCGTGCGCCAGAGCCGATCATTAAGGGTAGCGAGCCCATCGCGACAACTCCTCCGTCCGCTCTCCACCACCGTGTACCGCATGTCGAGCTCCGTGCTGAAGCCCGTGGACCCCCCAGTGTCGACAGCCCTGCCAGGAGACTCTTTCCAACTGTTGTCTGAGGCTGCAAAGGCAGGCGAGGCCGAGGATGCTCTTTTCGAGGAACAGGTACAAGCCGTGAAGGAGTGGTGGGCATCACCGCGGTACAAGGGCATCAAGCGCCCATATTCTGCAGAGGATGTCGTGAGCAAACGTGGAACGCTTCCTCAATCATATCCTAGCTCCTTGATGGCAAGGAAGCTCTTCAACCTGCTTGAGGAGCGGGCAGCAAAGGGCGAGCCAGTACATACCAGTGCGTTTACCCATGGCTATATAGATAGAACAATGGCTGATTCTGTTTCTCTGAACATTAGTGGGCGCAATTGATCCGATTCAGATGTCCCAACAGGCTGCAAACCAAGAAGTTCTCTACGTTTCAGGATGGGCGTGCTCATCCGTCCTAACCACCACGAACGAAGTCTCTGCCGACTTTGGCGATTACCCATACAATACCGTTCCAAACCAGGTGCAGCGCCTGTTCAAGGCGCAGCAGCTGCACGACCGCAAGAACTGGGATGCAAGGAGGAAGATGACACCAGAGGAAAGGGCAAAGACTCCGTATCTGGACTATATGCGTCCTATCATTGCCGACGGCGATACTGGGTGAGTAGACGTAAAGCCATACAGGTCTAGATAGGCCATTGACGATGTATAGACACGGCGGTCTCTCAGCGGTCATTAAGCTTGCCAAGCTATTTGCGGAGAATGGCGCTGCAGGAGTTCATTTCGAGGATCAATTGCATGGCGGCAAGAAGTGTGGACATCTTGCAGGCAAGGTGCTTGTCCCCGTGGGCGACCACATCAACCGCCTGGTAGCTGCACGATTCCAATGGGATATGATGGGCTGCGAAAACCTCGTCATTGCGCGTACAGACTCGGAGAGCGGCAAGCTCATCTCCAGCGCAGTCGACGTACGAGATCATGAGTTCATCAAGGGAGTCACGGAAGACACGGAGCCATTGGCTGAGACTCTACAAAACATGGAGGCGGCCGGCGCGCCAGGCAAGGAGATTGATCAGTATGAAGCGGCGTGGGTGAAGAAGCACAAGCTTGTCACCTTTGACGAGGCCGTTGTTCAGCACCTTGAGAAGGAAGGCGCCTCCCAGTCCTCAATCGACGCCTACCTCGACGAGATGAAGCAGAACCCCAACTTTTCTCTCCTCAAGCGCCGACAAGCGGCAGAAAAGTACACAAAGACTCCAGTCTACTTCAACTGGGACATTCCGCGCACAAGAGAAGGTTTCTACCATTTCAAGAATGGAGTCGCAGCAGCCACAAAGCGCGGCAAAGAGTATGCACCCTACGCCGATCTCTTGTGGGTTGAGACGGGTGACCCCAACGTCCAAGAGGCAGCCAGATTTGCCGGCGAGATCCGCGCCGTTTACCCTGGCAAGAAGTTTGTGTACAACCTTTCGCCCAGCTTCAACTGGATGGGCCATGGCTTCTCTGAAGAGGCACTCAAGTCCTTTGTGTGGGACTTGGCAAAGCACGGTTTTGTGTTCCAGCTTATCTCGCTGGCCGGAGTACACTCTACGGCGACAATCACATGTGAGCTGAGCAGGGCCTTCAAGGACGAGGGAATGCTGGCGTATGTGAAGCTAGTACAAGCGCGAGAGAAGGAGTTGGGCTGTGATGTTCTGACCCATCAGAAGTGGAGCGGTGCCGGGTACATTGACGGCATTTTGGGTGCGATACAAAGCGGAAGCTCAGGCAGTAAGAGCATGGGCGAGGGCAACACGGAGACTAGTTTTTAAGATTCCAAGTGCAGGGTCTGAGTACTGCGAGAGAATAAACAAAAAAGTTAGTACATGACACAAGTGAGGTGCGGTCGAATGTGTCGACTCGAGTTACTTGACCAAAAAGGAAAAGCCGAATCTGGGGCTCTTGCCTCGGTCCAGCCATCTTTCCCGAGCACCCATCATCATTATCGCCCGTGACGACGCGCCGACCTCTCTTCGACATACACACAGAGAACACCTCAACACCGTATCGCAGCAATGTCGGGAAAGCCTGGAATACCAGAATGGCAGCGTGCCTCCTCTTCTTCCGCCGCTTCCACTACTTCCACCAATGACACAACTTCCTCTCCGAAGCCAGAAGAGGAAGAAGAAGAAGCAAGCGCGCAACAACAACCACAACAACCACCTGTAGAAGCCCCCACACCAACCGAAGACGATGTCGCACAGCCAGAGGAGGAAGAGCAGCACTCTACTGAGAGTAGCAGTCTGTTAGAGCAGGCTGCGCGTTTCCTCGACGACCCAACGATTCGCGATGCGCCCCGGGAGAAGAAGGTGGCGTTCTTGGAATCAAAGGGGGTGAGTGCTGAGGACATTGGCAGACTGTTAGGTGAAGAGGAGCCGGAGAGAAGGCCAATCGAAGTTGAGGATGTGGGCGATCGGGCATGGTCGACGGTGAGGACTGGCACAATACCAGAACGTCGAAGACAGGCAATGCTAACGCTTTCAGACACCCCCAAAGCCTGCGCATGTACCTGAAGTTCAAATCCAGCCTCGCGAAATACCCCCGATTGTCACATACCCAGAGTTTCTTGCAAGCACTGAGAAGCCACCGCCTCTTATCACCACCGAACGCCTTGCGGCCACAGCATATATAGCAGGAGGTTTCATGGCAAGCATGTATGGACTGTCAAAGTACATCATAGCCCCCATGACACACGGCCTCGCAGAGTCACGGCGCGACTTTGCATCTCATACAAACGAGCAGTTGAAAGAGCTCAATGAACGACTACGCAAAGCAGTATCTGTCGATCCTGCAAGCAAAGTAAAGCCTATTGAAGACAGCGCAGACAATGTCTCTGAAGCCGACTCTGATCCCACTGAGCTCTACCACCGCGACTATGGCACCCAGACCACACCCAACCTCTCCCGCCGACCTTCCACTTCCACAGACCCACACCCGACTGTAACAGCACAGGAGAACCGCCTGAAGATTATCAAATCACACCTCCAGGAACTTGAGTCCAATCGCTCAGGCCAGGGTACATCGCGAGACAGACTGAGAACAAAGATCTCGGACCTCACTACCTACCTCACAGAAATGGACTATCAAAATCAGTACTACCCTACCATGGGTCGCTATGGAGCGACATTCAATTGGACTGGAAGTTCCTCAGAGTCTAATAAGAACGATCAGATTGAGGTGTTGAAGGGCGATATCAGGGCTGTCAAGGGTGTGTTTTTGAGTGCTAGGAATTTCCCCACTGGTGGCATGAATGCAATGCCTATACCGACGGGGAGAGTAGGATCGTAATATTGTACTATGAAATTTAAATAATATGTATTATTGACAAACGAGATTGATTTTGCTATAACATTTGTGTGAGTAACTGATGTCTAGTGTGGTCTATGCCACCTACCATCTTTACTACAACGGTCTCTTGGTGGACGTGCACACTGGGGGAAAACCAGCCCCAGCAAAGTAGTGCAACGTTGTTGAGCTGCGATCATGAGGCAACTGAATAATTCAAGTGCTTTGAGATCACACTGAACAAAACCCACTTATTCATTTATGCACTGTCGTATACATCGTTAGTGACTTCAAGTAGGTAGTGGTAGCGGCGGCAGTAGCTAATTATAAACAGTGGTTTTAGTAACAGTACAGTAGTAAATAGGTAGAGATAGAAAGAGCTACGTATTTTAACTAGTATATATCTATATAGACTTATAGCTATTATTTAACGGCTAGTTATACCTTACTAGCACTAAACGCTGTTGTAAGAGGCTGCGCCGTAAGTAAGACACGTGATGATATTACGTGCCTACTATAAGAATGCACTACCTATTGTCTACCTTGTATTAATAGTCTAATAAGCCACTAGGTACAAACTAGGCTGAAAGCCTTAGAAAATACTATCTAAAATAATAATCTACTCAACATTCTTCTATGCTTGCGCTCAATCCATTTCCTCGGTACTGAAGGGGGGACAGACTCGGTTGGACAGCCGCATTTCTAGTTCGTCATCTTGTAAAAGCGCAATTTTCAAGTTATATTGTCTGTTGCGGATTCTGCAATGCCAAACACCACCCGTGACTCCCGGGCGGACTAGAGTTCATATGCTTTTTTCACATACCCTGACAGATCATCATTGCTGTAACGCATATTCTTGAATGCTTTCACCACTGTCGAGGATCCTACATAGGCCGCACAGAGGACCTTGACCAGCATGGGATTGAGTCGTGTAATTTCGGCGGAGGTGAGCGGTATAATCAGGGGAGTATTGAAAAGATTCATTGCAAACGTTGCCTCGCTTTCGGAAAACGTCTTGATCTCGTCATACACGTCGACACAAAATTCTTGATCATGCTTCAAGTAGATGAATACTCCGCTCTCAGACCAATTTCTAATCATTGCTGCCACCGCTTCGGCAACCATTTTCACGTTCTCACATGGAAATGCTGGGTAGATCTTACTGGTCACTATATCAAGCAGTCTTTGTACAGGCCTGTCAGCGAACAGTTTTGAGCGTGGTGCTGCTGCTGCTAGTGGCAGGTCATTCGATATTGCGAGGCCAATGAGCCATCCTGCGCGGTAAACATCGCTGTAGGTTCGAATGGGGGTGGGGTACCTTGCGGCCGGCAGGTGATCCCAAGAGGGTCATTGAATGTCGGTACCAAGGTGGGTAGCCGGAAGTTATGCCATTGACATCTTCTTTGGTGAGGTTAATCCTCATAGCGCCTTCGATATGCGCTACTATGATATTCTCCGAGTCTACAGACTTGAGTGTGCGAATGAGAACTGTGGTACTGCCATCGCGGTAGCCATATGAGCCCCATGCGATGGCTGTGGTATGGAATTCCGTAATATCCGTAGTGCCGTGGCTACACAGGATGAAGGCTCTAATTGTATGTGCATAGGTCCGGATATAACTCTTATTGGGCGTTAAGATGGGTGGTTGCGGTCTTTGAAAGTCCCCTGCTTCTTTGCATGAGTCGTAGCCATGATCTTGAGAATGTCGTCATCAGCTGATTTTCATAGCAACGCGCAGACTTTGCTCGATGCATAGATCCTGTATACTGCGAGTGGTAGCAAAAGCCAGCGCAGTCGTCCATCGCTTCTCCAAGTCGAATGTCGTCCCAGCCGAAGCATTCGCACTCTTTCGGACGACGATGCCATGTCATGAGGCCCCGATAGCTAGCTGGTATGATAAAGACGGCAGCTGCAGCGGCCACCACGCCAGCAATTGCACTAATGGAATCCCAATTAGTCATGGCGAAATCTTTTGAGACCAATATGATGAGAGGAATCGAATTCCAGTATTTTGGAGAAGACAAATCGTAAGCCAAATTCTATGAGGGGAGACTTTGCACTGTAGGATCCGAAAAGCAAAATGTAAAGCTCAAGATGTAGAATTATCGCGTGAGAAGGCTAGGACCGGTGTACGGAGTTGGCAAACTTGCTTTGTGTACCTCAAACCACAGCCACTGGGCTGTGCTGACATGAGTGTGAGTATCTCATTGGCTACAATGTATCACTGCCATCTTTGCTGAGGATACTAACACTTAACTGGCTTTATCCATGATGATTACTGGTGGTGAGGGCATGAAGGAAGGCGAGCCGCAACCTCCGGATGTGCAAACAACGGGGGCGGTGCGGGCACTGCTAGCAGCACAAACGACACATTCCGGACCCACGCCATGCGCGACAGTTATTTTTGAATGCGTCTGGAGTAGGCATAGTGCTGCAATTAGTTACGATTCATACCATATAACGTCAGCATCTCGATATAACTGGAGCATCTCGTCAAGTCCTGAGGCTTTCAACGGTCTTCTTCTCTCCCCGGCGAAACTGCTGGCATCCACACTCACTAAATCAATAGATTTCTAATTGGAAGAGAATAACACTTGTCCCGTATACTTGGCTTGTAGCTCTCTAACAACTTTAACAGAATCCTGATTCCCCGTTTAAACAGGTGTCATAGCTAAAGCGGGGATAAGTAGTGCCGAGGAAACGATAGATAGAGTGGCCAATATTGTATATATCTACGTTAGAGATTAGTGTTATGAGAAAACAATGGGTATAGATTTGTAATACATTTACAAAATAGAAATTTTGGAGGTCTAAATCACGGAAAGTATCTCGCTATAGGGTACATCTTATGAGTTAGAAATAGATATTAATTAGACACTAAAACTTGAAAACTATTTTCTACGCGTTGAAAATTCAAAGGGGAGAATGTTTCACACTAAGTTCTTCTTTAGGAGTTAGGTGTTCCTTTTCGTTGTAGAGAGGGTGAGATTTGAACTCTTTACCTTGCCAATTCCTTGGCACTATGGCAAAAGAATATTTCCGAAGAAAACCACTACGTCACCCCTCTACTGCCTTAGATACTTCACCACCATACGCAGCGTCCGCTCAGCATCTAGGTGCGCTTTCAAACCAATCACAATGACTCAAAACTACCACATCAGTATCGGTCCCTTAGGGTATACCACCGAGAAAAAGTGTCATATGACAGTCTTGCGCGGCCATGCGCAAATTGTTATTAGAGTCGAGATCATGCGGGTAAAAGGCACAAGCTTGGGTAAAGAACTCCTACAACAGCTGGAGTTGTGGAAAGTGGGCACATGTAGCAGGGCCAATGATAACTTACTTGTCGACCCGATTTATCAACACTGCCTGCCTCTCATTGAAAAACTGGCTCCACAAACGCTACTTCAGGACCTTAGTTTGGAAGGCTTTATCCACTCACCTACCTACAATTTAGAGCTTATCCACGAAGGTGTTGATGGGGATG